GAAAAAGTGAAATCAGTGGGAGCTGAATTCCCAAGTTTCGTAAGCAACCATGTGGGTGAAATTTCTGGTGTTGTTGCTTGTGCCAATCTTTCTACTTTATATTTAGAGATACTTGAAATGTGTTGGTTAGGCAATCTGCCTCACCACATAAACTTTTTTGCTAAAGTACTTCAACTTGATGCAAAATTGTTGGCAAATGACTTTCCAGAGTCTGATTCGATAGTCTCTGGCACAGAATTCGAATTTTGAGTGAGTCATTCGCTACCTTCCACTTCCTCAAGTAATAAAAAGAGAACTTCTTTACCATCTGTAAAATGGTATTTTTGAAGCTGCTTTGATTTAGCACTGTTTTTTTTCCTGGAGGAAATTGTTTTGTAAATTAAAGCTACATCTTTGTTAAAGCCAGTGAAAGTTTAATCCGAGTAAGTTTGGCTTAAGACTGATACATGAATGAGGATTCACTTTAAGGACTGATGTCTATAAAAAACTGTTTTAGTCTTACTGCTGATCACTGAGCTTTGTTCATATGGAAATCTTCCAAAAGGTTACTAGAGGCAGGTCCTCATTTGTTTATGTTCTGAGATATATTATTATTCCCAAAGCTTGGGTGTTTGAATCCTGCTTTCAGGATCATCATGTGTAGAAGAGATGGACTCACATCAAGAGTTAAGGGAAAACATCAGCCTAAAGTGTTGATGTTTTGGGAATACAAGACACAGCACAATACCAAGAGAATCACTGTTCAGTGAAAAGCAAAGCACATGCATAGCTAGCATTCAATTAAGTCAGAATAATTACAAAAGACAAATTTATACTGCCCAGGAGAGACGTGTGGGCAACACTTTATTTTCCATAGTAAAATTCTGCAATTTCCCAGATGTAACACTTCAATTATTGTAGCAGTTTCTACCAGATGTTTCATATTCTGCAGCATAATCAGTTATAATTTAACTTTAAGAGGCTACATTACTTTACAAAGTGCTATATAATAATATCAGGTGGGATTTTGTAGGCAACAGTTTCTAAAAGCATAGATGCTTAGTTCATCCTACGTCTTTTTTATCTAATCCAGTAACGAGTTAATAAACTAACAGTTTGACTTGCTTATTTACAATATCACTTCAATTCCACTGAAATGTTTAGATCGATAAGTGAACACTTATCTAGATACTTGTTCTAAGAAAGGAGGTAGACATGTTCATTCAAAAGCCCCAAATGATTTCTTTGCATTTTTGTGTATAGGAACATCGATCTGGAAAGAACTCGAGCCACAGATTTTCGTTGTCATAGGAAACCCTGTTTTGCAATCTCTTCCTGATTACACAGCAGACATAAGATGTGTCTGACTCCTAGGCCTGGGAGAGGGTGGCACTCACAGGCCAACTGGCTCAAGAAGCATTCACCTTTGTAGTGTCCACTCAGTTATGGCAGTGAATCTGTTTGTTGGGGCTATGCTATAAACCAAATCACTGAACTAATCTGAATTAAAAATAAGCTTTGAGATAGAGGGTCAGAACTTCTGAGGCCTACTTTTGAAGCCAAGGTCTTACTGAATTACACCAGTAGAGGCCTAGACCAGAAGCCATAAAGAGAGCTGATGAAACACCTACTAGTCACACTAGGACAGCCTCATTCCTCTTTGTCACTACTCCTGGCTGAACTTGAATTTTTGGAAACATAATATTCAGACAAATGTGTGTTGTCCTTCTAGCAGCAGTTTGGCAATCACTGCTGTTTCATTTATCATCCATACAGTGTGGCAGTGATCTGATTTCTCACAGTAGTGAGGTAGGCTTACGTGTTTTACATAGCGTTACCTCTGCAGACAAAACCGGCTTTGTCAGAGGGCCTGAGGGCAGCCGAATGCCGTAATGCAGTGCTCAGCTCCTGTAAGAAAGGAAGAAAGAAGAAAGGAAAGGAAGGGCTTTGTCATCAGGAGAGGGAAGTGGTTGCCTGCACAACTTGCTAGCACCATGGGTATTTTCCTGAAATTCCCACAAGGTCAGATGTAGTCTACCTGAATTCTCTTCTCCGGCCAGGGATTTGTGGCAGTCATAAATGAAGAGTGGGTAAAACCATAGGGAACTGCTTGTTTCTAATGGTGGGTAGGCTTTACTCAAATCAGGGAGTAGATAAGGCACTACTGTGATACCTTTTGTAGATATGTAAGTACAGACACGTCTTAAGTGTTGTTATTACAAAGTTTAATCTTTGTGGGAAATGTAAAAAGGAAAACCATTTGGATGTAGATTTTTTTGGCCTTTTGACTGCTATCAAAGTTGTTGTTTTAAATGAAAAATGGGCAGAACGGGAGTCCCCATTTATAGTTCAAGCCTGCAGTATATACAGAGAAGGAATATTGTACGTGACATGATTGCCACCCATAGGAGGGCATGGAGCCCAGTGAGTGCAGAGGCAAATGAAATTCAGATATTTGAACTCTGGCTGACAGAGCTGTATCTCACACCATCCCAGCTAAGAATGTTTGAATCCAAGGATGAGACTCTGCTCGCTGTAAGAATATGGGTCTCCATGGTCTCTGTCTTACCGCTTAGAGGCTGACAAGTTCAGTCTCCAGGTAGAGACCCTGAAGGAACCAGAGCCAGCACGCATCCCCAATTTATGTTGCACCTCAGAGGATCCTCTCTGTGTTTGGGGTTGGAGATGTTCTCAGGGGCAAAAGCTGTGTCCAGAGGGCTGCTGCTGTTGTCTGCATTTCAGGGGCTGTGGAAGGCAAGCAGGCTGTTTGTGCCTGTCCTCTTCCTCTAATGACCTGAGAGAAAAAAGATGCAAAGCTACTTTTGTTGTATATCTTCACATACCCCTGAGCTGACCTCATCACAGCCTGCTGCAGGCGTTAATCAGGCCCATATAATTCAGATGGGGAATTTTGGAGTAAATGTTGAGCTGTCTCCACTGTAAACATTCCCCTATGGATCTAGGAGTCCAGATGACATTGTGCAGGTTCATGAAAATAAGAAAGTAAAACCAACTAGTAACAAACACTTTACTTCGTAAAATTCAGGTTGAAAGGCAGCGAATTATCATAGGACAATAACTAAAAATTATACTTTAAAATGCATGTAATTTTATTAACCCTATATAGAGTTAGTAATACAGATTCAAACACTACTTAATAAATTGGATCTGTGTCATTATAGTTTCATGCTGATAAACTACTCCAATGAGGAAAGCCTGGAGAAGCATGAGGACAAATCAAATATTATTCCTTAATGCTGTGCTGCCACTGTGTGTATAGGCTATTCTAACATTTGTTTATCTCTAAATACCAGAATTTTTTGAGTTTTCTCACATACCACAAACAACTAACATTGTTAGGACACAAACAGAAAATAAAGTTACGATATAAACCCAATACATATTTTACTATCAAAATGCAGGAAGGTATAATTAATAGAATGATGTTGTTAAACTTTGGGTACACATACAATATATTAAAAAAGAAAAAGCCTTTTTAGGTGAAGCTTTAATAGTTACTATTATATTTGAATACTCTCCTCTTCTGTGTGCCCCACAGCTTCATTTGCATAGAAATGTGTTCAATTTTAAGCTATTCTAAACAGAAGAAAGCATTCTTCAACTTGCTGATGAAATGGTATGGCCATATTAGAATGTCTAAAATAGTCCTCCAATAAACATTGTGTTTCTATTCGAAGTCCTTCCAAGACTGTCTTTGGCAGCATGCTTTTTTCTGAACTGTTTAGTATGTTTTCTTACTGCTGTTGCTAAAGGTGCATTGTTGGCAGTATGGGGAAGACAATCCTGCAGGTTTTTTTACATCATCAGTCACAGAGAGTGATTACTCCAGCTGTACAAATAATGTAGGAAATGGATTTTTTTTTTTGCATTAGAATTATGCAAGCCTAGCAAATACTCTCAACAATTGCTCCTTAAGTCAGTGAAATTTAAAGCCATTCAGTTTTCTTGTAAGGAGCTCACGGCTTCTTTGATGATGAGGTTTGTTAAGCCCAAATGTGGAGAGCTAATAAAATAATAAAAAGGCTCCAGAGGTGTTTATAGATTTCAATTATCTCTTGCTTTCTCTCCCAGGATTGGACTAGGCAGGATTGTGCTGCCCTCAAGTAGTACTTGAGTCTAGTCTGCATTTTATACTGGCTGTCTTCGCATTCTCCGAGGTTTCTTCTTTGTAGCTGAATCGCCTTAGTGTGGGTAGTGTACAGAGGTGCTAAGGGCGAGCCTAAACAAAGCAGACATGCTTCACAAAAGCATAGGAGCAAAAGGAAGCAAAATTGAATCTCCAGCACCCAGCTCCTGGGCAAACAGACAAAACTAATGGATCCACTCTTGCTCCTCCCATCCAATTACTGTGATCCAGTAGAGAGAATATGGCAACATCGGTTCACACAAACTCTAATACTCTTAATCCCTTCCATACATATAAACCTCACATTCACCAACATTACTTCATTATCAAGCCACCCAGGAAGACTGAGTGTTGGAATGGACCCACCAGCTGCAAAAACCTGCCTCCTTCAGGTTTTAATCAGCTAATGAGGGATATGCAAATGACAAGCTTATGGGATTACGGCTTGTCTAACAGCAGTCCTCCCCACAGTGATACAGTACTAATACAGGTGTTAGTAAACTGGTTATTAGGCACTGGCTAATTTAGGCCCATTCATACCGTGATTGTGCTCTCAGCCCTGCCATTTGTACTAGTGTTTGTGGCCCAGTAGGAGATCTATTAGTACTGTGGTGGGTCTGACAGAAACTCCTTGCTGTTAGATATGAAGTTAATAAATCCAACTGGTTTGGTATGTGGCCATACACAACACCACGTGACTGAAATGGTGATTTCCCTCCCCATCCCAACTGCCTGGGAAATTGCAATGGGAAGGCCAAGGGGGTATTTAATTAAAAGTTGTTTAACCTGTTATGTGAAAAGTTATATGAACTTTTCACATACTCTTGAGTAAAATGTAAAGCATAGTAACATGTTTAACCTCTATTTTTTGTAGGTCACAACTAGCCAACTTTTGTCTTCCATGAAAGGACATGCAGCCTAAAAGTATATGGTGAGAACAAAACATACTGCTTCTTGGGATGAGAGATCTGTCTGGGGCTTTGTCTGTTTCAGTGGTTCAGTACAGCTCTCTGCTTTTTAAGTTTTTTTATTCTGTGCTTTTTCTTTTAAAAAAAAGTTCTTCATTACACAAGGAATTCAACACTGCAGTTCACTTCCTCTGCATGCTGACTGAGCCAAAATTTTCAAATGTGGGTGTTGTGCCTAAAGTAGAGGGGATATCAGTAAGATGTTCTTAGACCAGGGTATGTAATATGTACGATCTGTTATCTGGTACCCCTGCTATTTGGTTGTCTAGAATTTCCTTGAGTATGCTCATTTCAGAAACAACAAATATTATATACACATAGATAAAGATATGATGCCAAGTCTGTAGCAATTTTCAGTATTTCTCTAAAGGACTTTGGTGCCAGTTTATACAAACCTATAGTAGAAATTAAGATAGAGTTAGTAAACTATTTTAAACATCTGTACTTAACAAACAATGAGATATTTAAGCATATCTGTTTCCATGTATGCATAACTCTGAACATAATGGAAAGGAAATCCACAAACTCGTCATCTGAAAAGTGCCAAAAGTAGTTAAACAGAAGATGTCCAATGAATGGTAATTTCCATCTTCTCCAGCAGGCAGAGGAAAGAAGTTATTTAGAAGTAAATCTTTGCTTAAGGCTCATTTGAGGATTTTGCCAAACAGATACGATGTTGTGGCATTTTGGTTTTATTACAATATTATCTCCAATTACTCTTTCCTGTGTTTAAATATTACCTAAAACTCAAGGATCTGACCAGAATGTTGAGCTGTCCTATGAGAAGCCAGATATTTAGGGTCCCAGGTAGCCTTTAATTGGTTAAAATCTTTGTTAATGTTATATATAGGGAAACTGAGACAAAGGTTTAAAAGGTAAAGTGTTCAAAAGTGAGTCCACACATGTAAATATGCAAAGCCTCTTAGATTTAATGCATACATATCTATTGTTCATCTGTTTGTTCTGACTGACCCTAACTAAACATATATCTTTAGAGGAAGGTTCTGCATCTGAACTTTTCTTGTCCTTTTCTACTTTGAGACATTTGAAAAATCAAACACAGATCCACAATTTGCAAATTTCAGGTCAGCCTCTTGAATCTAAGGATTCTGAGTAAATGAGGTTGGCTCGTCTGTGTATACAGCGCTTATGAAGGTTGTCTTGCTCTCCTGATCTGTAAGCTAGAATGACTGAAGGAGAGAAGACCCTCAGCAGACTGTGAAGAATGGAAAGCAGCCTAAGTGCTTGTGCTCATAAGTGAACCCCTAAACATGGGGGAAGCTCCATGTGGCAGTCCTAATCCACATGCAGTAGCATGTGGATGCTGTTCTGTTTAGGTTATGCTAGAGCTGGCCTGTCATTATGTGTAATAAATTTGAGAATACTGCATTAGGTCTTGTATAAGCTAAAAAGTAATGAGTGAGGTTAAGTAGATGGGGTAAAACCAGACAAAGTGGAAGTGTTTACATTGAGCATATATTTTTGGTTTATTATTGTTCTGTTATTCTGCTCTTCTGTTCACCTCCAAAATAACCTGGGAAGTTTATAAGGAGAATTTGAATAAGGAATCTCACACAATTTACAGCTCCGTAGAGTCCTGTCAATAAAACAGCAGAATGCTGCTGGGTTATTTGAATATAACATAGAGATCGTTGTCTAGTAATCCTTATAACATGTATCTTCATGTTTTTGCTTCAAATATTGAGAAGACAAGGCAAGCTTATCTGCCTTGGACCTATTCAAAATCCTAGTATCCAGAATCCCTGGTTTCACCAAGGGCATGAAGCTGTAGGTTACCTACACACACAAAATCCTCAGGAAGAATAAGGATCTCTTTAAAAGAAGGAAAACATTTCTGTTGCTCTTGTAGTGGATATTTCAGTGAAACAACAACATCTCTGAATGCTGATGATTCCATTTTACTTCACAGCTGAGATGGTAAAGGATACTGAGTTTATGAAATCGAATTGAGTTAAATAAATGCAGATGACATGGCAGAAAAAACAAGCTTACTAGTACCTGGACGGAACAGATTAGAATTATTGTGGAAACCTTAAAGGAAAATACCTGATTTGATAATACCATTAAACTGGTAATAGTTGTCATGAGTAGGAGCAAAAGTATAGTTTCTAAGAGGGCAGAGTTGCACAAAACATTTGTTGAGTGTTTTTTGTTTCTTTTTTGTTAACATAAGGATGATCATTTCTGGTACTTTGAGGAGAGTGTATACCACATCCAGCCAAGAAAAAAGTTGCTCTTTGATTTGGTTAAGCAAGTATAGCAATACAGCCTTCCCAGATGCATGCATGTGTGAAAAGGTATCTGTACCCCAGTACAGAGAAACACATGGACTATAAGAACATGTACATGATGGGGATCTATTTTCTATTTTCTTGTGCCCTTCAGCCTTTCTCCACAGTCAGATTCCTCATATCATTGTCATGGTTCAGCACAGAGCAATCGCTTGGGGCGAGTTTGCAGTAGCACCCTGCAGAAAATACTGGTACTGGTACTAGGAACCCAGGCAAAACTGCAAGTCTTGTAAAGCAGAAGTGTAATTCGCAGACGTTGGAAGAGAAGGGGAATATGCCTCAGCTCATGTCCAGGGACTCTCATCAGTCTAGCTGCAGTTTAATTTGCAAAGTAATGCCCGTTTGTCTTTTGGAAGTGAATCTTTCAGGTGCTAAGCATCCTTGGGTTACACACATGTTGTAATCACAGGATTGGTAATATTGCAACTTTGAAAAATCCATTTTATCCTGCTTTACTGCAGATATTGTAAGAAATCTTCTTTGGCTCAAAAACAGAAACAGCATAGTGATATTGCCAGGATTCATAGCAGTCATAGTAAACACCATCCCTTTTCTAGATTTCAGGTAGATGAGTTTTTCAGGCTGTGTTTTCACTTAAGCTTTAGGTAATAGATCTTTGCTTGGTCCCCACTGAAGTTAAACTGGGGTTTAGATGAATCGTATATTTATTTTCATGACCTAGTTGTTAAGCATTTCTTTCTACATAGCTACATTATTTTTATCTACAGAGTATGTAAAGCTCAAACTCTTATAAACAGGAAACACATCTTTTTATGAATCAGGCTCCTTGAGAGTTTCAGTTTGTGTTTTAGAAGCTGGGATCTGTCTAAAGCTGCCAGCTTTACTGTAAAGTTCATTTTAAAATTACTTCATGGAAATAGACCTATTCATAGAAAAGATAATCGATCTTTGCCCTCCATAACTTCAGAGATAGTCCTCCAGTGTGCTACAGACAAGATTGTATTCTCAGGCTAGCAGAATACCTTTAAGAGCTTCTACTTTGTAGGACCATCGGCAAGCAATTGTACAATGCTTAAAGAAATCCTCAGTTTTTCTCACTAACACAGTAAAATATTTCTGATAAGAAGAGGTACCTACTGAAGAGATGGGGTTAAAACAGCATTTGAGATCCAGACTGTGACTCTAGCCTGAACCTGCTGAGTTTTGTCCTGAACTGCTTCTCATGATGTGGCCCTTCAGCAGACAGTAAAGGTGGGTGCTGTGGAGCAGGTTACCTGCTCTGTGATCCACTACACTTCCCACTACCCCACCACACTTTGACCTCCTCCCATATTCAGGCGTGAGCCCTTAGCTCTCCCACTGGAAAGAAGGGGGCATCTGACTTGGAGCTCTGACAGCAGATATGTCAGATTTTCTGTGTCTGTGCAGAGGACTCATCGTTAGATGCGCAATGGACCTGAACTTGCTGTGCATGTGATACAGAGTCCTGCCCCACTTCGTGTATGATCAGATCCCCTAGACCTTCATATGTGCACATATACTAGCTGGAGCCTCCCAGACACTTAAGGCAGTCCGGCTTTGACTGTTCTCCATCCTGTGCTGTGTTCTCTATTTATTTCAAATCAGCAAGGAGGCTTGCATTCAATAGTTGCTGGTGCGGTGAGTCTATCACTGCAGCATTTCCATGTGCAAAGGGAATTCTCCACATGACTGATGACTTTCTAGCTCCACTGAAGTCAGTAGCAAAATTTCTGCAGAAAGGCAGGATTTCACTAGTTGTTTCAACGGAGTGGCTAGAAGTAAAGTTAAAGAAACCTTCCACAGAAGGTGAGACCTAAACAAATTCTAATGTTGCTGGTATTTTCTAATAAGAAGTACCAGAGGCAAGTTGTAAATTCTGCATCATGCATTATAATTTAATTTGTATGTGCTTTTCAGACCCTTCACTGTTGCAACCTAGAAACAAGGCACCTGATAACTCTGGCTTTTTTTTTTTTTCTACTTATTAAAAGAAAACCTCATATGCTATGATAGAATTGTAATTGCTTCTTTTTCCCACAGGTTTCCTTTTCTGCCTGCAACAGTTATATTCTGTATATTTGTTCTTATATTCTGTATATTTGTTCTACGAGTTTGTTTTCTATTACATAATAATGTAGTGGTTTCTCTCTGCGTTATATGGGTTGCTTTTGTATATGTGTGAGGCAGGTGTACACCTGACTTTTCACCTTTCCCAGTGAACTATTTCTGAACACTTGGGATAGGTCTATTATAAAAAAGATTAGTTGTCAAAGAAAGACAGTTATGTCCCCCAGTCGCAGGGAAAGTAAATACACTTTCTTTCTTAGGCACTTCTGACAGTCTTCCCCTAAATTGTTTCTAACTTTTTTGGAAAGATTTAGCAGTTCCTTCTCTTCTAAATGGGAAAACAAAATGGAAAAAAAATCCACCATGAAAAGTAAGTTTATTTGGATTATTGTTTAAGGAAATATTTGAAATGGCAGAAAGATGTGAGAAAATTACATGCGAAAGTTATCTTCAGAAAATCCTGAGGTCAAATAGCCTTAATGCTACTTCTTGTGTATCTTTACAATGAGAATTTTAAGCGGATTCCTCCTGCATGGCAGTGCATAGGGTTAAAGGTTAACAACTGTCCAATTCCTTGGACAAGGTGTTATTCAAAATCAGGTACTTAAGACATTTGCTAGAGGACTTAACCATTATAGTTGTTTGGAATCACTGCATTTTTCAACAGGGAAAGTATTTAGAGGAACAAAAAGATTTTGGAGACAGGGAATTCCAGAAAGCCTGTCGCATATGAACTGAAAACCACCATTAAAAGCTGAGTTTTCTTTACAAAAATCTGACAGTATCCAAATATGTTGTGTGGAAATCGTGGCTGTCAGAAAGAGCTAAGAGTGTTCTCTGCAAATAATTTAGGCTGGCTTTTTTTAAGCTCTGTTTTCAATGTACGCACTGGTTTTCTTTTCCCATATTGCTTTCCTTTGATGTAGTTATACCTCTCAAGATTTCTATGACTTCTCTTTAGAGCTTGTAAAGTAAGTGGTAATTTTACAGTCGGATCTATATCAAAGGGAAAAGCTGTTGGAGGCTTCTGACCCTGGACTATTTGAAGTAGTAGATCACTGAGGATTGGAGATTATTTGGGGGAAATCCTGAAATAATAAAAATTCTCTAGGTTACGTTGTCCTATTTTGAAGCAGCATTTATAACATGGGTGGCCAGAAAATATTCGGATTGTTTAACCAATAACTGTAGCTTTTTGACTTCCTTTCTGATCAGGATTACAAGGTTTCTTTTCTAATCTTTTTATGTGTTCCTGGATCTTCTGCTTCTTGGAGTGGTTGCCTGTTATGGAGAACATGGCTATCTTGTTCTTTAGATATGAAACGTCCGCTGTAGTTCTGAACAAGATTTAGAGACGAAAAGACAGCCACTTACACAGCTTTCAAGAATTAATACGATTCACAGGGCTGGAACTTTGTGTGCAGGTAAGGGTCAGCATATTGGATTTCAGTAAAATGTGTACAAAAATATAAATACTGTTGCTATCGCATGGGGGAAGACGTCCTTTCTACCTACTGTTTAAACCACTGGATTGATTCAGGGAGATAGACATCTGCCGTGTTCCTGGTTGCATTTTGGGCTTTCTTTTCAACCTTGGGCAGGTCCCAAAGCAGCTCTATGCCACAGCTTCCCAGTGTTGTAAGATAGCTTTTAGCTACGAGACAACTGTGACACTTAAATTAAAAGGCATAATGTTTGTAAAGAAGACTAAGGTGTTATATTTAGATAAATATGGGCAAAAAGTAGTACCAGCTGGCAGTACAACACAAATACATTTTTGAAAACTGAATTTAAATAGTTCCTTAAGTGTGCTTTTTAAAAGATATGTTTTGGTACTTAGAGTTATTCTAAAACCCCAATCCGAACAGTCATCTGTGTCTCTAAACATAATATAGCAAGAGGATTAGAGTTCAAGCACCATTCAAAGATTAACTAAGCAAAGATAGGCTTGTGTAGCTTCCAAAATATTTTTATCTTTTTTGTCTCGGTGTCTTCTCACGATGGAAATAAAATTCTTAGTAAACATTGCAAGGAGGCTTTTCTAACCTGCTTATCTCTTCTGACTGCAGATGTGAAGGAAGGAATAGTATACCGGTCTTAGATATGGAACTCCTCTTGGAGTTGGAATTGTTCCACTGGATATTAATCAATAGCCTTTGGTTCTTTCCTGTTTTGAAATGCAGGATATCCATTTTAGAACAACAATAATAAGAAAAACCTAGAGTGACTGTTTGAAAAACACCTGCCTGTGGGAGCACTAGTAATAATATTTAGCTTTTATTTGCTTTAAAATACTTTGCAGAATAGGGCATTTAAATGAAGAAACTAAGGTAAAGACAGAGATGCAATTTACCCAGAGTCAGATATCAGACTAGCACCACAACAGAAGTTGAGTTTTACAATTTGTAACCTACACCTTGACTGAACAGCTGTTAACAGTGTTGAGCAAGGTCAGTGTGCCTACTCTTACCAGACACAGCAGAAGAAGTAGTTAGAATGTGTGTAGAGTAAAGATAAAAAGAAACTTCCTTATACAATTATAACATTTATAAATGCACTGAACAATTATAAATGCGTTTAGCCTATGAAATAGGACTCAGATCTGGATATTTCAACTCCCCAAACTTGGGTGAAGATCTGGGCTCTATGATACGATTTTGTTTTGTTCTGTTATAAAGACCAAAAATGAGTGAAAACGCCTGTAATTTGGTTGAGGTTTATCTTCCCTTCTTATAGCTGAAGAATGACTCCCTGGAGGATAGGAAATTAAAACCAGTCTTCTGTTTCTTTTTAACACCTGAGCTGTGAAAATGATTTAGAGGGAACTGTGACCCACAGTAAAGCCTGACAAGATCAGGTAAAGTAGAATTGCTTACAGAATGTAGCTAAGATTGGAGAAGATCCGTTCTTCATCTAACGTAGTGGACAGATACTCCTGGGTTGATGATTTTGCTGTTGGCCTCAGAGGGCTAACATGTGAAATTATTTTTACTCAAATGTTCTTTACTCCAACCTAATTAGATTTTTAGATAAAACGCAGGAATTGTAACAATTGTGGCATCCCCTTAA